AGCCAGTGCTTCCCTGGCCAGTGCGGGGCTATCAGGATCATATAGTGACTTCTCTCCCTCACTCTGGCCAGAGTTGGAGAAATGAGGGCCACTGGGGGAAAAGCATAGAGGAGGGTTCTCGGCCACTCGTGAGCTAGAGCATCCACCCCGAGTGGAGCTCTCTGATCCTGCAGCGAGTAAAACAGTGGACACTGAGCATTCTCCCTGGATGCATAAACGTTCACGGTCGCCTGACCGAATCGCAGCCAGATCTGCTTCACCACCTTTGGGTGAAGCTTCCAGTCCCCATACAGCGGGTTGCCCCTGGAGAGAAGATCTGCTCCAAAGTTCAAGATTCCTGGCACGTGAGTTGCTCTCAGTGACAGCAGGTGGACACTGCTCCAGACTATCAGTCTGTGTGCCAGTGTGTGTAACTTGGGGGACCCCAGACCTCCCTGTCTGTTGATGTAGGCCACAACAGTGGAATTGTCCGACCTCACTAAAACATGATGACCTCTCAGCCAAGTGAGAAAGTGTTTTAGCGACAGGTGAACCGCCAGCAGTTCCAGACAGTTTATGTGGGTGGAGCGCATGTGAGGGCCCCATTCCCCATTCACTGTGCTCCCTTCGTGGGTGGCCCCCCAGCCCGAAAGAGAGGCATCTGTGGAAATCACCTTCCTGGCTGAAACTGCCCCCATGGCAACGCCCTGAGACAAGAAACCTGGCCTCTTCCACTCGCGGAGAGCGAGTGAACAGTCTGCAGAGACTCTCACGCGACGGTGGCCATCTCGGTGAGGGTCCAGTCCCTGCGAGCCCACCCAGCACTGAAAGCCTCTCATGTGCAGGCATCCCAGTGTTATCGCCACTAGAGAAGAAGCCATCAGACCGAGCAGCCTCTGGCACTGTTTGAGGGTCACTGTGTTAGAGATGACCGTATGGCCGCTGTTCTCTCCAGGGCCAGAAAAGCTCTCACCCAGAGGGAGTCTAGGCTGAGCCCTATGAAAGTAATGCATTGAGTTGGCGTCAATGTGCTCTTTTCCACGTTTATCTGGAAACCCAAACTCTCCAGATGGTGTATGAGAGCATTTGTGTGACAAGTCGCTCCCTGGCGGGTTGGGGCTGCCACCAGCCAGTCGTCGATGTATGTGGCCACCCGAATGCCCTTTTCCCTGAGAGGGGCCACTGCTGCCTCGGTGCATTTCACAAACACCCTTGGGCTCAGTGAGAGACCAAAAGGCAGGACTAAAAACTCGTATGCTATCCCCTGGAAAGCAAATCTCAGATACTTTTGGTGTGGGGGATATATGGGGATGTGGAAATAAGCATCCCTCAGGTCGATTGATGTGAACCAGTCGCTCGCTCGTACAAACTGTAGCAGCGAGGCGTGCGTCAACATCCTGAACTTGTATGTCCTTAAATGCCGGTTCAGGGCACGGAGATCCAGAATGGCTCTCAACCCCCTCCCCTCTTTTTTTGCACAAGGAAATACCTTGAATAAAATCCGCTGTGCATTTCCTTGGGAGGGACAACTCTTATAGCTCCTTTGTCTCTCAAGGTGGAAATTTCCTCCAGGAGAAAACTGGCAGACTCGCCCAGAGCAGGAGCGTAAACGATTTCTTTGAAATGTGGTGGAGCGACATTGAATTGCAGCCTGTAGAGGCGGCCCACGAAGGGGGGAAACTGGGTTCGCTCCCGCCTAGAGGAGAGGCTGTCAGGCCGGCCGCTTCTTCCTCCTAACGATCGCGGCAGCGGGGGG